GTGGCCTGCCCTGCAGCTGGGGCTGGGCCTGGCCACCTCCTGAACTTGCCGGGCCTCATTTCTCCAGCCACAAGCGGGGCCTCACGATGTTCCTGCAGGACAGACATAAAGGTCTGGCCGGGCTAAGCACCCCATGGGCAGCGGCTGTGGGCACACGTGGACCCAGAAACAGAACATCATTTCAGATACTGCTGAGGGCGGGCCCACCTTTTCAAGCGTTAGGAAAAACCAGCAGCTGAGCCCAACAAGAGTGTGGCTTTTAAAAACACATTTCTAGGAGAAGAAAGGACGCTTTCTTTGTGAAAAGGACACAGATATTTCTTGTAAAACTGAGAAGAGGGAGACAGGGGCAGCCAGATGACGTGGGAGGGGGGGCAAGTTTCCACATCAGCAGGGGATTTTCGGGTCAGCTCTTTCATGGGAAAAAGAAGGAGTTCTAAAGAAGAGTGAGGATCTGATAGGCCTGTAAAGGCCCAGGGCCTTGGCGGAGCAGCAGGCAGTCACAGGGCCAAGCCAACAGAGGGTCACATCCTCCCCTACCCCTCCAGTGCTCTGCCCTAATGCAGGTTACTCCGTGGGGGCGGGTGACTGCCATGCTGCGTCCTGGCTTTCCTTGATCTGCTGTGCATGGCTTGTCTCAGTTCTACCCCCCACAAACCCTACTAGTGCCCTTGTTTTACCCATGCAGAAGCTGGGACACACCTGTTGAAGGTTCCTTTCCAAGCCAGGCCACTGGCCAGGCTATGAGCATTGAACCAAGTGTTGTCTGGGGCAGCTCGAAGCGGGGCCACCCAAGAGTACCCCCGGAGTAGGAAGGAAGCCTTTTAAACCCTGGAGACAAATAAACCTCTTGTCTCTTGGAGCCGGGGGTCTGTCCGGGAGGCAGAAAATCACCCTACGTGTGTGGTCTGCAAGTTTTCTTTACCTTCGGGGACAGGAGGCGGCTTGTTTTAGGTGAAGGGTGCTGGCTGACGACTGTGCTGGGAATGATTGTGAAAGACACGGCACGCACGTCTGGTGATCGAAGCGTCGTGAAGCCATCTGACTCTCCCTGGGTGAGGGGGCCACGCTTCTCTTCCCCAAGACTGAAAAATCAGAGTGTGTTGGCAAAGGACAGTTGGAGACAAAGCTAGGGGAGCAGGAAGGCAACCTCCCGTAGACTCCTAGCTTCCCCAGAGAGGAGTCCCAAGCCAGGCTCGGTGTGGGACGGGAGCCAGAACTCAGACGTTGCTCATGTGTGTGCCCCGGAGAGTTTCCTTTCAACCCTGGGGCTCCGTGATGGGAGGACTTTGAAGAGATTGAGAACAGGGGAACCTGGTGGCTCAGTGGGTTAAAGTCTCTGCCTTCAGCTCAGGTCAAGACCTTGGGGTCCTGGGATTGAGCCCCACATCGGGCTCTCTGCTCAGCAGGGAGCCTGCTTCCCCCTCTCTCTGCCTGCCTCTCTGCCTACTTGTGATCTCTGTCAAATAAATAAACAAATCTTTCAAAAAGAGAGAGAGAGATTGAGAACGTGGAAGAAGGGTACGCTCGCTGTGGAAAGCTTAGAAACAACAGGGAAATAGAAGAAAATGTAGGTAACACGCATGCTCGTGCGCATACCAGGAGATAGCTGCTGTCACCAAATCGGGGTTTAAGCCATCAAATTTGCCATTTATAGACACGATCACCACTGCTGGTGATCACTACCGATGGAGTTCTTCTGTGATGACACTGTGCTCATCTGTAGTGGGAACCATGATCCCCACTTAGAGCCTGGGAAACCCAGGCCCAGGGAGCAGCCGGATTTGCCCCATTCCTTGAGCTGGTGGCCCCGTGGATGGGGGACTCAGCAGTGAGTTCAGGGGCCTGCGTGGAAGCCCAAGGATGATGCTGCTGCCATGAAATCTCCCTTTCGTGTCCCCCCAAGTTTATGGAGATAGGTGGCCCCCTAATGATTTGACATTTGTATATGCTGCAGGCGACCCCACGGCGAGTCTACCCATCACCTCACATAGTTACTGGTCTTGTGAACTCAGGGCCCCTGCTGACCACACCATCACCAGCACCAGCACCTCCCAGTTTGAGTCTTCTGGCTCCTTTTGCCCCTTCCCCCGCCCCTCCCCACTTCCCGTTTCCTGCACCCCACAACTTGCCACCAAGAACCTGAACCTCAGGGCCACTCTGGAGATGACAGGATGGTGCTCAGAAAGAAAGCAGGGATGCCTAGTGGCTACGACATTAGCCCAACGTCCAGCCCATCTCCCAGCAGCTGGGGCGGGGTGGGGGCTTGTGATAGGCTCTCTTCTCCCCAGATTGGCCCCAGGGCCTCTGGGATCCCAAACAGGAGAGAGAGAGAGGCTGCCGCCTAAAAGGGGGTCGTAATTTCCAAGACTCACCACAGGTGTGGCTCTGCTGTCCCGGAAGCTCGGTGTCCGCTTCCCTCCAGGGTGGTTCCGATTCTTGGAAGCCAGTCCTCCCTGTTCCAAGAGGCCCTGGGAAATGCTCCTCCCCAGAAGAGGCACTGGCCTCGAGGCCTGGTTACACCCCCTACCTGAGAAAGAGCAACAGCTCTTCCTCCAAAACGGCAGGTCTCCCAGATCTCAGAAAAATAGAAGGGGAGACCCAGCTCAGCCAGAGCACGTCAGGAGTCCCCCCCATGCAGCTTTGGAATGTTACATCCCATCCCCATCTTCCATAAATCAAGGCTAGATTGTGCCAGGGAAAGATTCTTTCACACCCTGACGTCCGAGGGTTCCACAGTGTGTCACTGGTGGACACGGCCGCATTTACCAAAGCAGGTCTGTCAGCTGTTTGGTTTCTTTCCAATACTGGCCATTAGGTTCCAAAGCCATAATAAACAGCCATGGAGCCAAAACACAGCTCGGTCTTGACTTCCGAAGAGAAATTGCCAGAAGCGGGATGACCAGGGAGAGGGCATAGGCTTGAAGGCTTCTGGTGGAAACTCCCGAGAACCTTCCTCTGTAGAAATATGTTCAAGAGATCCTCCCCTCCAGCGCTCATGAGAAGAAAGGGCACGGCTTTTAGTAAATGAGCAGCTAGCGCGGGTTGGCCCTGAAAAGACCGCTGTTGGGTAATCTGTGGGAGAAATGGGTCCTTAAGGACACTGCCAGTAGATGGCACTCTTGGCTAAGATTTTAGAGTCTGATTTCGGGGGGGGGGGGGGGGGGTCAGAGCTTTTCAGACCGTTCAACAAGCCGAGGGGAGCTCTGAGACACAAACTTGTCCGGAGCAGATTGGCAGGAAGAAATCAGGGACATTATCATATGGAAACCAATCGTAGCAGCGGGCCCCTGGGGTCCCCGGGTGCTGGAACGCAGCTCATGAAGGTCTCCCGCATCTTTTCCGGAGCCCCGCACCCAAGCCCCCTGTGCCTCCCCCATTAATTCTCATGCCGGGAAAGCGGCACTAGACCGGTCTGTTTCCTCCCGACCAGCATTCCAGGTTCTGGCAGCGCCGGTCGGCTTATCACAGCTGCCGCTTTACAGCTCCACGTGCGGTTATCGATCAGCTCTCTTGTTGGAGGACACCCTCCAGGTCAGGTGCCCGGAGTTCAGGGCAGTGCCCGACCCCGAGGACACTTTGCAGGTGTCTGCCGTGTGAGCACAGGTGAGGTGCTTGGGGCCTTGCCTTCCTTGAGAAGCTGTCATCCATCCCGAGATGGTCGCCTTTGCCACCATGGGTGACTGGGACAGAAGGTGAACGCCCGTCTAGAGGTGAGTAACCCACAGGAAGGGTGGCAGAGGGGCTCGGGGTCCTCAGCAGGACAGTCCCAGCCCACTCACCTGTCAGACAAGTTACATAACCCGGCCCAGCCTGTTTCTCAGCTATAAGACTGCTCTAGTCACAATGTGCACGAGAGGCCTCAGCTCAGCGCCCGGGGGCTCCCATGGGCTGGGGAAGTCTGCGGGGCCAACGGCAGCCGGGCCCTCCTGCTCTGGAAGGACAGCTGAAGGGCAAGAACAGCAAGATCGTTTTTTGTTTTCCGTAGGCCACGTCAGACATCTTGCCTGTTAGCAGTTGTGCGGTGACCCTTCGGCTGCCGGGATTTCATTTGGTTCCAACACTGCTCACATTCAGCTGCGGCTGGGGGTCCGCTGGGGGGCCCGGTGTAGAAGGCCCAGAGTGATGCGCCGTGTCCCCGAGGACGGGACTCTCTGCTCTTTCCCTGTACCCGTGTCAGCGTAATGAGCGAGAGTTCTGGATCCTTTCCGGCTTCCAGGCCCCAGGGTGACTGGTCACTGGGAGACCTTGCACCCATTTTCAGCTTTGTAAACTAAAGATCAAAGGGCCTGCACCCTACAGCCTGCCGGACTTGGGGGCAGGGTCCTCAGGGGGTCCTTCCAGGAGTCTCCAGTCAGTCAGTCTCCGTGAGCTTACGCATACGCAGATCTCTAGCTCCCTACTTCCAGAGCTGTGCCCCCGAACGCTGCTCTTTGGCAGGGAGAGTCCCCTTAGGAGAAAATGGCAATTGGCCCAGAAAGGAGCTCGGCCCGTGACTCAGTACCCCAGCGGCCTCCTGGACTCCCAGCTTCCCCGGGAGGGCCGGTTCTGAACGTCCTCGTACTGCCCCGGTCCGCAGGAGGAGCAGACCGGGTCGGGATGGAGGCGAGAGGGGCGGGGACATCACCTCGGCCCCGCGCGCCCCACCGGGCCTGAGCGCCTCCGCACGGCGGGCCCCGTAGGAGCCGCCCGCACCCCGGCTCCCAGCCCGGGTCGCGGGGCCAGGATGCCGCTCGAGCAGGTGCGCGCCGGCGCCGCGGGGGCGGGGTTTGCGCCCTCTAACCGCCAGGCAACGGCGGCGGGGCGCGGGGCGCGGGGCGGGGCCTGCGCCGGCGGGAGGGCGGGGCCTGCGCCGGCGGGGCGGGGCGGGGCCTGAGCTGGCGTATAAAAGCGCCGGCGGGCCTGCGCCCTGACGCAGCGGCCGGCAGCCGCGCAGGGAGCGGGTCTTCGCTGGGCGGCGGCGCGCGCCTCGTGGTCGGCCCGGCCGGAGGCTCGGCGGCATGGCAGGCGCCGGCCCAAAGCGGCGCGCGTCCGCGGCGGCCGCGGCGGCCGAGGAGGAGGAGCGGCAGGCGCGGGAGCGGATGCTGGCGACGCGGCGCGCGGACGGCGCGGAGGGCGCGGAGGGCGTGACCCTGCAGCGGAGCATCACGCTCTTCAACGGCGTGGCCATCATCGTGGGCACCATCATCGGCTCGGGCATCTTCGTGACGCCCACCGGCGTGCTCAAGGAGGCGGGCTCGCCGGGGCTGGCGCTGGTGGTGTGGGCCGTGTGCGGGGTCTTCTCCATCGTGGGCGCGCTCTGCTACGCGGAGCTGGGCACCACCATCACCAAGTCGGGCGGCGACTACGCCTACATGCTCGAGGTGTACGGCTCGCTGCCCGCCTTCCTCAAGCTCTGGATCGAGCTGCTCATCATCCGGCCGTCCTCGCAGTACATCGTGGCGCTCGTCTTCGCCACCTACCTGCTCAAGCCGCTCTTCCCCACCTGCCCGGTGCCCGAGGAGGCCGCCAAGCTCGTGGCCTGCCTCTGCGTGCGTGAGTACGGCCCGCGGGGGCGGGGGCGGCAGGGCCCGGCCAGCCACGTGGGTCGCGTCGGTCCGTAGACACGTCCTCGTGGGGCTGGGGCGGTGAGTCAGCGGGGCCCCTGCCCCGGCCGCGGGGGTGGTGGGGGTGAGGGCGGGGGGGGCGCGTTCCACTTCCTCACCTCGTCCCTTCACGACTCCCTTCCCCTGCCTCGTGCGAGCGTCCGCGCGTGTCCCGTCCGCGCTCCCCGGGGCCGACCGCCCAGCAGACGCTGCAGTTAGAGGGAGAAACTCATTCATTCCTGCTCCGGAAACCGGCCGGTCCCGAGTCGGCAAGGGCTGGCGCGTCCCCAGCCAACGCTCGTGTAGGCAGCAGCCTCGACGTAGCCACCGCGGGGTCCGGGCTGCGCATTCACTTTGTGTGGGATGGGGGTGCAGGGTGGGCCTGGGGGTCCGCAGTCGGGCTGAAAAACAGCCCTGCTCGAGTTCCTCACCTTGGGCATGGTCTGGGTGTGTCGGAGGATACGGTGGGGGGGGGGTATGAGTGCTCAGCAAAACCCGTTGTCTTGTGGGATTTCAGGAAAAAATCGTTTGTACCAAACATCATGTGGTTTTCTTCTCTTTGGCTGTTGGCGCCTTTTATGCCTGCCTCCCCTTGGCCGGCTTCTGTGGAGCCTTGCCGGATGGAAGCATCCTGCTTTCAGAGCTGCCACCGATGCGAGGGTTTCCTGGATGTTCTTAAGTGCCCACAGGTCCAGAGCCCGCAGGCTACGTTCAGGGTTGGGGTCCTGGCCGCGAGACTGGGGGACTGTGCGCTTACTAGGAGTGGCTTCTGATGGGCAGTGGCTGCTGGTGCTGTGGGGATTCTGCGGTGTGTGGGCCGAGTGTCCCGCACGAGCCACACTGTCCTGCGGGGCAGGCCCGCTTCACGAAGTGCTGGGTCCAGAAGGCAAAACCCAGTGCGGTTCCCCTTGGCTGCCTGACATGGCGCGCTTTCCGGAAAGAGACCCTGAACAGAGCAGCCATGCGGGGGAAGGAGCGTTATTTGCCTTTTGGGGGGCCGTCTCAGGATGTGGATCTCGGCTTTAAAAAACACAAAAACGTTTGTCCAAGTCTAAGAGGTCCATCTGCTCGAGGACAGAAAGGCCTGTGGTTTCTTGTGGGGCTTTGAGATGAGGGTTTTATGGGATGACACATTGGTCTGGAAAGGGAAAGACCCTCTACAGGCAGGATGACTTTTCTTGATACGATTATAATAATCGCGTGTCAATATGATTTAGCGTTTGTGGGCCCAGTCTGTGGTGAAACAGATAATGTCTCTAAGGGCCTGTCCTCTCTCCAGTCTTTAAAAGAAAGTCCCTTCTTAAACTTTCAGGTTTAAGTAGATGGCAGAGGGACTGCAGTGAGCTCAGCGCCCCCCCCCCCCCCCATGTCACTGTGGCACTGCTGGGCCTGGCCAGGAGTCCTGTCAACGGCGCCCCTGCCCCTGGGGGCCGTGAGGGCAGCTGAGGTTTTCCATGTCCTCATCAGTCTTTGGGGCTCTTCTTCCCTGAACCGCCTTGGGAGTGTGTCCAGTGTGTGTAGGTGTGGGTGGCTCTCTCTGGTGGAAAGAGGACTTTCAGTTACAGAAGGGGACTCCCTGTCTGCCAGGGTGAGTGCCCGTCTAGAGCCTCACCGTCTGGAAAGAGAGGCCAGTCCAAGCCTCGCAGAACTCGGAGCTGCCTGGCACAGGTGGCTCTAAGTTGAGCACGGAGAAAGGTTCTGGGTGTCCAGGGAGGCAGGCCCGCCCTTGTAGGGCCTCTGAGGAGGCAGTGAAAAGCCACAGAGAGTTTCTGAGTGTCCTCCAAGTATCCCGCAACGGCTGGGTTCTAGAAGTTCTCCCCAAGGAGAGGAGGGGCACTCTGCTCCACTCTCCGCCTCGAGCCCCCCCCACCCGCTGCAACAGTGCGGGCCCAGGCTCCGTGGTGCACCGTGGGAGGGCCTGGTGGCCTGCCCCTTTGGTGCTGTGTCGTGGGCACTCGAGCAAAGTTCTCAGGTTTGCTGGTTGGTCTTTTCAGTGCCCTGGACACAACCCAGCACAGTTTTGGCTTCCTAAAAAGTGCTGCTGAGGAACAGGTTGGCTTCGGTGCTTGGTGCGGTCCTGCTGGTAGTATGTGCGGGCATAAAGCCCTTTTCTTGTAGGTCTTACCGCAACAACCACCATGAGGCCCTCGTGTGGCTCTGGTGTTGCCCAGTGCATGGAACGGTGAGAGAGACTTGCTCTGTCAGTCTTTTTTTTTTTTTCTTTTTTTTTTAAAGATTTTATTTATTTATTAGACAAATCACAAGTAGGCAGAGAGGCAGGCAGAGAGGAAGAAGCAGGCTCCCTGCTGAGCAGAGAGCCCGATGCGGGGCTCGATCCCAGGACCCTGAGATCATGACCTGAGCCGAAGGCAGAGGCTTAACCCACTGAGCCCCCCAGGCGCCCTTGCTCTGTCGGTCTTGATGGCTGTGTGGGATCTGGCACGAGACCAGGCTTACCTTCTCCCTAAACAAAAACTTGGTAGCGTTTGCTTGCACCTGAGACGATGGGGGCTTTTACTTTCGGGCAGAAGTCGCTCAGACTGGAGTTCGGATTCTCGCCAGCCTCAGCTGCTGTATCGAGGTCACTCCTACTCCAGACGCAGGTGTCAGGCCGGTGGCTGCGGACGGGTGGGCGCCTCCCCTCCTCTGCCCTCTCCCCCACCATTGGGTGTGGGTGTGTCTGAGCCCCCTGGGACAGCCGCCACTTGGACCCGCCACGTGCATGTAGAGCTCAGGGTCTGCTGGTGGCTCTGGGTCCCTTTCCGGCTAGGGTCCGGAAGGCCCTTCTCTCTGCCTTCTTGTGGGAGAGAGACGGGGGTTGCAAGGGTCCCCTACCCCACCATGCCCGTGGATTGGGCAAATCCATGTGGGGCAGGGGTGAGTGTTCCGCCGGGGACCTGTGAGCCAAGATGGTTTCCAGCTGGTGTCAGGGAGAGCCTAAGCTCTGTGTGGGAACAGACCTGGTCTGCTTCGGGAAATCTGCTTGGGCCTCAGCGGAGTTTCCACATCCGTGAGATGGGGATGGGTCACAGCTCTGCCTGGCGAACGTGGGAACTCTCGGCCACGGCGTGCGGATCGAGCGCGGCACACGTGGCTGCCTTTGTTCCCAGCACCACGCTCTGTCTGCTGCTCACCTTTCGTGTCTTGAGCTGCCCTCGAACTTGTTGTTTTCCAGTCTGGCAAAGAGCGGGAGAGCGAGAGAACGGAGAGAAGGCAGGAAGAGCGGTGCGTGAATGCCAAGGTCTCCCTCTCGGGCTGGGGTCTGAGCTGTGACATGCCTGGCCCACAAGGAGTCCCTTCCTCCCTTGGGAACAGGAGATTGGAGGTCCCGATGGCAAGGGGCATGGATCAGGGACGGGTTTGGCTGGCCATGGGTTGGGGCCAGCCGACGTGAGGGTAAGTCAGTTGGGGTGATGATCAAAGTGGGAGGGGAGCCCAGGGCCTACCCCCCAGTCTTCTGGTTGACCGGCTGTCCTCCATCAGGTCCAGGCGGTGCCCACTCCGGGGGCTGCAGGGTATCCACACAGTGTGTCTGCCACTATACGGCCTGGTCTCGGGCATCTGAACATCTGCCCACCGCTAGGGCTGGGCCCATCTCTGCCCAACCAGTGAGGCTTCTGGGTGTTTGCACGTTGCTCGCGACCCTGGAGTCACAGCCGTGAGCTAAGTGCAGACAACGGCCCAGTCATTAGCACAGAAATCTCACTTTCCCAGCCAGACACGAACGTGCTCGGGCCACTGGAGCAAGTCACGCTGGGTCACGGGACTGGAGCTCAGCCCCATGGGGTCCTTCACAAGAGCGCGTGACTTCGAGGAAGCGCGAGATGCTGGGTGGGCATTTCTAACGCTTCTCGCTCTGGGTCACGGACCCCTTTGATAATCCGATGGAATGTGCAGACTGCCCAGAAACGCGTTCCAGGCGTATTAACTCCTAAGTGCGCATCATCATGGGGTTCTCACACCCCTGCCCCCCCAAGGGTGGCAGAAATGGATCTGGCATCTCCTGGCTGCCTCTCATCACATGTTCCTGCCCCAGCCTTTGAAAGGAGTGTTGCCATCCTTCTCGTATGGCCAGGGAAACTGAGGCAGCGGTGGGCTGAGAGCCCACTGTGCATGCTGACCCGCCTTTTGTCATGGTGTGTAGGGACACATGGCCCCATCTTGGGCAGGAGTGGCGAATGGCAGGACCCTGGGGTGGTGTCGGTCACCAGGTCCAGGCATCCGGTCAGCCAGGGTAAGGAGACGTAGGGACTTGAGGTTTGTCCCATGGAGTCTTTGGGGTGTGCTTGTATCCTGACCGGGGTGCCTGACTGCCCCCCCCCGCCATGCACAGCTGGCCAGGGAGCCTTTTATCTTTCCTTCTCGTTTCCACCCAGATCTTTCTCTTGCACAGGAGCTTCTAGGGCAGGGGAGGCCCACCGCTGCCCCACAGCACATGCCCCTTCCCATGACTACCTGGATCGCCAGTCCCTGTTTGCCTTCTGTGACCCACAGCAGGTGCTGGGACCCAGGGACTGCTGGGGGTGCGACCTCCCTGGGCCCTCTCTGCATTGCTGGCCGGGCGCTGCCCAGGGCACACTTGTCCCCAACACTGGGCTTTGTCCCGCGCCCTCCCAGCCGGCCTCCAAGCACCCGTGTGCCTAGGGAGGCTCACAGTGTGAGAGGTGCCTTTCCTTCCAGACGCCTGTCCAGGCGGACCTCCCTCCCTCCCCGCGGGAGAATTTTTGGGGGCCACGCCCGCCCCTCCCACCGCTTGAGGCACGGGCACCACCCTCCCTTCTGGGCCCTTGGAGCTTGGTCCTCGCAACTTGATCCTGCTCTGAGTTCCTCTGACCTTGGCTGCTGTCTGGCGTCTTTCCCTACTGAGACCCGGCGGATTGTCCGTGGTTGTCTGTGAACTCACAACGTGGCCAGTCCAGCTCTGAGGCCACTGCAGGGAAACGGACCTGA